GGGCAGGTTAATGCTGGGCCAGCTATTGTAAGCTGCCAGAGCTGTGCTTTCTTGGCGCAGGGTGTGTAGCTGTATTTTAGAATCTGGGCTAGCACAGTTAATGTCCTTTTGGGCTCTTGTTGCTCTAGAGTTTGCGGTCCTTGTGGAAGTTCGCACTGCTACCCGGTCCAGTCTCTACCCCACTCTGTTTGATGATGAGCAGTCCCTCAACAAGTACGAGTTTGTTGTCACCAGCGGTAGCCCTGTTGCAGCAGATCGAGGTGGGTGATTTGAAAACAAAGAACCTGTATCACTGAGGTTAAAGGAGCACCTTGACCTTTAACTGGTTATAATGCCGTTCGTGTTCTGGCCCTTAAGGAAGTCTGAATAGAAGCCAGGCCAGTTTACAGCTGGGGTAGCGCTGTATGAGGTGAGGTGTACCGCAATCTGTTTATTTATAAAGGGTTTGCCGTACCAGATCAGCGTTTTGCTTCTTAATTCTCAGAAATGAGAAATGAATTCTGTAACATGGGTACAGTAGCAATTCTAAATTATCCTGTAACCCATGGTGAATGCTTTCTGTCCTGAAATCCTTGTGTGTTTGAGTGAGTCTAGCTTCTGAGGACCACAACATGACTCATCTCCCATGTTCCACCTTATAGACAAGTATGACTGGTACAGAAATGCCTAGATCTTTTTTTTTTTTTTTTTTTTTTTTTTTTTGCCTGCTTTGTTCAAGGACTTGAACGCTTGCACCTAGATGTGATTTGAGTCAGGTTCATCAGTCTTGTGTTTCTAGGAAGTCTTAATTCAGATGAGTTGGCCTCTCTGACTGTCTCAGAAGACGTGGCAGATGGCTAATCCTTCCTGCTCTGTCCTTCGAAGATACAGGCGTGATGCAAAGCAGAGACTTACTCCCTCTGTAGTGTTCTTCCTGTTGTAGATCCCACGTGTACTTAGAGTAGTCTGCTTTGCATCCGACCAGTGGCATGTCCAGAAGCTTCTGGACCAAAATAGTCCCTGAAAGGTCTTTTCTCCACTGCAGCATCAAGTTTAATAGGTCATGGACTGCTGGGGAAAAAAGCGTCCTAGGGAATTCCAAAGAGTGGTCCAGGAAAGCAGTGCCTTGGGTTGGTTGTCGGTTTGGTTTTTTTTCACTAAGTATCGTGGAAGTGCCCTTAATGAGAGGAACACTAAATCAAGAGTAAGTGGGGACTTGAAAATCGAGGGTTTATATCTTTATATATGTATGTATGTATATTGTACAGAGCGTGAAGATTTTTCATAACTCTGCATGTTTTAATGAGCTTTTGATATGGGAATAGCAACAACAAAATCTAAACAACTTTGGTTTAAAAGTGAGTGTGAAGAAAACAAAAGCCTCTGAGCCTGTGTGCATGTGTCGGGATCCTTCACAAAATTCCGTGTTGCTTCTTGGATCAGATGCCCTTCTAGTGGGATGATCTTTGGCTCCTCTTCCATGGAAGTGAAATCGAGGCAGGCCACTGGGGGATGTATTTTTCCGCCTTGTAGAATAGGTAGGTTTCTCCCTGACTCGAAGATTATTATCTGTGAACTAATTAAGCCAAATGCCATGTTGAAGTTGGCTGTGCTGTTATTAATAGTGCAGCTCTCTGCCTACAGAGAAAGCTGCATTAGTGCACCAGACCGAGGTACTGGTGAAGAATGAGTGCGGGCTAGTGCTGTTGAACAGAGCAAGCGGTGGAACAAATGTGTATCCTTGTCTGTAACTCCAGCAGGCATTCAGGCCCGGGTCATAGAATAAATGGACTAGCCCTTGCTAACAACCACTAGTAAAGGTGTAAACGGGTAACCTGTAGCTTGGGTGTCCCCTTTCTCACCCTTTCCCCCCCTTCTCTGATCCTGTAGTTGGCCCTACAATCTTGAACAAGATCGAAGCTGCCCTGACCAACCAGAACCTTTCTGTAGACGTTGTGGATCAGTGCCTTGTTTGCCTGAAGGAGGAGTGGATGAAGTAAGTACGGCTACGTTGCTTGCAGAGAAACAGCTTTGGCACTAATCCTAGACCAATGACAGCGGAGCACAGGACAAACCTGTAGTCGCATAACTTCTGCTGCAGTACTGAGAGTAGCTGGCGTTGCTCTTGGGAGCTGAGGATATCAGAGTTCTTCTGCTCTGGTCCTAACTCTCTTTCTGGCTTTCAGTAGTTCTTAACCTTTATGCTTCAGTTCATGCATCTGTAGGTTGCCTACGTGACAATACTTGTCTGCCTCGTATACGTTATGAGGATTAAGTATGCAAATACACATAGGCCTGTCAATGTGCGCCGCACTGCCGTGCGGGTAACATGCCAAACAGATGTCGTGGTTGCACCTTCAGGCGCTGCATTTCAAAGGTGCAAGTAGTGATCAAGGGAGACCGGGCAGTCATGTGAAATAAATGATGGAACATCACGACTTTGTGAATTTACCTGAAGGCCAGGTGGGCACTAGATGTGTCTCCCAGGGAGATTCCCAGTTGTCACAATTAATTGTTTTACTTTCCGCTAGAACGAAAAAACAGACTAGAATTATGCATGTTGCTACTGAAAATGACTAATCCCTCTAATTAATCCCCTCCTTTTCTTGTACTCTTCTCCCCCCCACCTTCCTTATTTAAAGCATGAGAATAGCTTCCACGGGGTATGGTTTGAAGCTTTTATTAACATTTAGTTGCAGTGGGTACCGAGAGAGGCTGCAATTACTGCTCGTTCCATTTGCTGCATGCAGGTCCATTGTAATAGTGACAGGAGTTTCTTGTTTCTGCAGTAAAGTGAAGGTCCTCTTTAAATTCACTAAAGTGGACAGCAGACCCAAGGAGGATACCCAAAAACTGCTGAGCATTCTGGGAGCTGCAGAGGAGGACAATGTCAAGCTGCTCAAGTTCTGGATGACTGGCCTGAGCAAGACGTACAAGTCCCACCTGATGTCAACAGTTCGCAGCCCGACGTCCTCGGAGTCCCGGAACTGAAGGGTGCCCAAACCTCACTTGCTGCCTTCAGATAATCGCAGGGAACCCTGAGTTGCCACTGCTGAGCCCGCAGCGCGTGCGTTAGGCGGATAGTGAAACTTCGTCACTGTTCTTCTGGTCCTCAAAACTAACTTGAAGAGCGACTTGAGTCTTTTCTAATTGCTGTGAGACTGGACTAATAAGTGCTAATAAATAGTGCTGCTGTCTGCCCTGAAACTCAACTCTAAATCTAGACCTGCACACTCAAGACTAAAATACAGCAACACTCATAGAATGGGTGTGAATTAATTAAAATCCTGTACTGTCCTCATTCAGCATTACGGTGTGGCAGTAGACCTCGGTTTTAGATTTCATTGGCAAGACTCGGATACCTGTGACAACATCCGGAACTCCTGGGAGTGGATCTAGTTAATCTCTCCAAATCCCACGTAAATCTCCTGAATGCTTGTGAGAACAAGAACCAAAAATAAGTGACATGTCACAGGGTATGGATCACGTGTAAATTATTTCAAACCACTTCATGCTCGGATTTAAGAAGAGACTATTTTCTGCTGTAGCATAAGTCAGGATGTCCTGTTGGAGTCCTGTCACTCCACTTTATTTATTTATATCTTAACTTGAGACAGTTTCAGCGTTTGCTTTGGAAATCTTGTCTGGGAGGGAGAACTGTAATAGAAGTCTCAGAATGCAGCCTGCTTGCCTCCCTAGAGGGTAAAATACTCGCCTTGTTTGGCCTGTGGTTGCAAAACTTCCAGGTAATGAAAATAACCTCACCAGGATAAGGTTGCTGGTGTTCTTCTGTCTTCAGAAATAGTTTTCTAGCTTCCTAATTAAGTTAAGCAGAAAAGATCCAACCTGTAGGTGCTCCCTTCTTACATAACTCTGTAGTAGCCATTTTTGCTTAATAGCAAAATAGCATGGAAACGTTGGTGCATTTTTTAATTACCTAAACAGATATTCCTTATCTGTCTTGTAAGGAATTACTGTTTCTGTTGTGAAGTCATCTAGTTTTATTTGTTTTTGTTTTGTGGTTTGTTTTTTTTTGTTTTTTTTTTCTGGATAATTGTTGGGAAAACTTGACGTTACCGTAGACATTTCCAACGAGTTTTACCCAGGTGACCTTCTACACTCACTCAAATGAGACTCAAGCTCAGAAGGGGGTGCTCCCCCTTGTCCCGAGTTCTGTTCTTGTATATAAAACATGCAGGTGGATTTTTGTCTGGAACATCTGTAAAATGGAGACAGGCATTAAACCTCATTAAGAGCTATTTTTGTAAAACAGACAAAGCCCAGTTTTTGTGTTGATTTTCAGTGTGTGTTGGGGTGGGGGAAGCATCAGTTGATCCACAAGGTAATGGTAATGCCTGCATCTTAGCCTTGATCTAATTTACAGAATTTAACGGGTCTTTTCCTCTGAACTCTGTATGTATTAGCTTCTTCTACATATGGAGCAAGAGATGCTCAGATCTATTAATCAAAAATGCTTGACTGGATGTAAAACAACCACAGGATATTCAAACCACAAACAGATGCTTGGGAAAAGGCATTGCTTTGTCACTACAAAAACTAACTAATTAACTTAATTTCAGGGTTTGTGACAAGGCCTCCATTTCCCCTTTGTCAGTACCGGGACGGGAGACAAAAGAGGGGCTGAGGCTCTATCCACAGGAAAGGGAGCTTTGAATAATATATTCATCTTGCTTCCTGGGTGCTAGGTGCTACTGATGAGGGCAAAACGAAGCCTGCTGACAGTGGGATAAAAGCGACAGAAGTAACTAGAAAAGCACGGACTAGTAAATCAGAATTTCCAGTGCTAGGTCGGTGCTCGCTCTTGTGGCTACCTTTTATGTGATCTAGTACTCTCGTATTTTTCTACTTGAAAGCTGCTCTGGTCTGGTCAGAGGTGCCTAACACAACAGGTTAGACCTTCTCAATTGCGGAACTGTTTTTATCCTTTAAAGAGCAGCTCTCCCAAGGAATTCCACGTTAAAACCTTGTCTCCAGCCTGGAGTTGGTGCATGAGCGCCCATTAGCAAAGCCCGTGTTTCTGAACGGAGGTGTGGTCGCTTCCAAAACAGGAAAAAGATGATCACCAGGTCAAGCCTGAGGCTTCATCTTCTTCCTCCTTGCACTTGTGTAAGCAGTGAGTTGTACACGATGTTGGTCGGTCTCCGTTCTGATCTGAAACAGGGCTGCGTCACAGACAGCCAGACGCTGGATGATGTTACTGTTTTTGAGCCAGGGCAAGGAAACCACAAATTTATCCCGTATGAAATACCTACAGGAAAGAAGGGGGAGAGTTGCTGAAGTCTGTGAACCCATAAAACCAGCTGTGCTTGCCTGCCAGAACAGATCTGTACGTGGGATTACCAAGTAATTGTCTGGGCAAGTTCCTGCAGCTCGCAGATCAGGCCGCCGGTGCTCATTTTGCCATCAGCGATGGCTGGAATGTGCATGCTCCTCTTAGCACAACTTAATTAACAAAAAAGCGTGTCTGCAGACATCTTTCACCACCTTCCTTCCCTGTAAACGTTACGCCTTAAAGACAAACTGATTAAAGCAGGATATTTCTTTATTCCGGCGTGATTTCCTTTGCATGGCTGAGCAGCATATACCCAAGAGGGAGCCAGGTGCTGGGCAGAGACCTGGGGTGGAGGACTCGGACTGGTGGGATGGAGGACTTGGACTGGTGGGATGGAGGACTTGTAGGGGTTGATGAAGACCTCTACAGTCACCAAGTCAACCCACCACCACCAGCCCAAGCTGCCTTCTTCTGCCGCCTCTGTCCCCTCGGACAGGCAGGGTCCAGCTCATGAGGATGCAGCTGGCTGGCACTGGGTCACTCGGCCGGTGAGGGCGAGCAGGGCTTCATCCTCAGATGAGATTTGCTTGGGATGACTGGAGTTGGTCTCTTCAGCCCTTGCTCCTGCAGCCCGAAGCCACCCACTGAAGCAGCCCCGTAGCTGGGAAGGCGGCGGGCTGGGGGCTCGGGGAAGGTGGTGGGCTCAGGAAAGGCAGCGGGCTGGGGGCTCGGGGCAGGTGGCGGGCTCGGGGCTGAGGGAAGGCGGTGGGCAGGGGACTCGGCGAAGCGAGCCCTCGGCTCC